ATATATAATATACATATTATATATAACTTTGTAATAAAGTCTTTAATTGATTATTTGCTATGTAAAAATTGTGTAAAAGGTGTAATATCAATATATGAGGATTGTTATGTAAATTCCTAAAAAAATTATTTCTATAATAGCATATAAATGCATATTTGGATGTCAAAAAGCAAATAAAAATAAATATTATAGTAACAATTACTTTATTACAAAAGACAAGTTTACGTATTGTAAGAATATCCTATGCATGCAGATTGTATCAGCTTAGTTATGAAAGACTCAAAATAAAATTTTTAAACAATTATAGTTTTAAAAAGATCAATCAGAGACTAAAATGTAATTAATTTAAGGCTTTGGACTCATCGTATCCTGGCACATTCATGACATAGTTATGACGGTGAAGAGCATTGTAATAATGATTGTTATGTTGATGCAATGTTTTTTGTATTCATATGCGGGTGATAATTTGAGGGATCAAAGCGAGGCCTTGTCATTCGCGCTTTACGACAGCAATTGGTGCGATTTTTCGCCTAATGATATAAGAGACTTAGCGTTTATTATGATAAAAACGAATATACCCATTCGTCTAACTGCCGGAAAATTTTTCTACGTTACACGTGCTACTTTTACGGACATTTTAAAAACTGCAGTATCTTACTTATCCGCTTTACGTGTTATGATTGACAAACGAGAAACAAATAGTTACTAATAAAGATTTTTCTTTATTACATATTATATTATGTCACATATTATTTAAGAGAAGCATTTGTAGCGATGTAAAATTTTTAGTCCAATATTAATATATAATATAATATTAACATATAATTTTAATTTACATTATATAAAAATTTAACGTTCTTAGAAGAATATTACAAGCAAACCATTCAAAAATTCCTTATTTTGAATTTTCTTCGTAAATGTGACTACATCTTACGATAAAATTTTGTAAATAGATAAATTTAATTGTAAAAATTATCTAACAAATATATATCTGTCTAAAATTAATTTTTATATTTGTTTTGACAAAGAAATTTTTTTTAAGTATATGTATATACTTAATAAAATTATTAATATATAAAATTACTTACTTGTAGCGTATATCATTCTTTAACCAGTTTTCGTAATGTGAATATATCGAACAAAATTTACAAAACAATTTACTCATCCGTACTATATATATATTTTTACGTTTAAAAGAACTAAATCTACAATATTTACAGTTGAAATGATATAAATATTGTCTAGACGAAATAAAATGTAATACAGACTAAACTAGAACGTAGTATAAGTGTAGTATAAGCGGGAGATGAAGTTCTTCTCTTGACAGTTCATGCACGATAGCATGAAACGATCGTTAAACAACTAACGAAATATATTCTCACAAATTCTTATTGCAATAGCTATGCGTATAACAACATAATTCTCTATATTCTATGATAATGTGTTAAGAGCATAGTGACAGGCTGATATAAGTTTTCAAGATGAATAAAAAATAACTCGAAACACAGACAGACGTTATATCCGACACATCATTGGTTATTGGTTAGCAGTTACAGTTATTACCTTAACCCATGGCAAGTGAACGATGGAAAGACGATGTCGCATACGCGATAACCCCTTTTAAATTGGTTGCGTGGTCCATTGGTATCTGGCCACTTCAAGTTCATAATGCTTATTCGTTGATACGATATGTCTTTGGCATCTTTTCCGCGGTATGCACTTTCTGAGTTTAACCTCGATGATCAATAACATACGATTCTTTGAGGACAATGTAAATTATTATTTATTTGGTATTTTATTATATGAAGACGTGTCAATAGGTCCTCATGATTGTCATACCTTGTTTCGAGATTTATTTGGGCTGCACTGACGCGGAGACAAGCATAGATTGTCTCATGTTAATCTTTTGCGGAATACTTGGTGTGTTAAAGATAATATGGTTTCGCATTTACGCAAGAAATTTGGCTAACAATTATAGATCTGCCATGAAGGATTATTTGACAATTGAAAACACAAAAGAACGTGCCATCATGAGGAAACATGCTTTTATGGGAAGGACTCTGTGTTGTTTAATTTTGGGCTTTGCTTATTTTAGTTCTATAATGTATGGACTAATCGCTATTCTGGATGAATATAAGCATGTCAATATAACGAACGAAGATACTGTGCTAGAGTATCCAGTACCATCGAAATGCTTTATGAGTTTCTTAAATGCTCCAGTAAGCATGCATAAAATCTTCTGCCTCGTCGATGTTGTTGCATTAATACTAGCGAGTACTACTAATCATGGTATTATCAGCACATTATTTAACATCTTTTTATCTTTTCGTTCTATTTAATCTTTAAAGATTAGCAATATTTATTTATTTTAAAACACACGTATACATATTACATACATATAAGTACATTCTATGAATAAGTAATTTTTATTATGTTTATTAATGCAAATACTTTTATTGTCTACTAATTTAGATAATATTGTTAAAGCATGGAGAAGTTTTGCTTTATTTATATTAAAAAAGTATTAATATTGTTCTGCATATTTATTAGTGTATTACTATAGGCTATATTATTTTCTTTAATGATTGAAAGGTAACGACGCTTTGTTTCTGAACATTACGTTGCACGTTTGTGGCCAAGTGAAAATTCTGAGAGCTAATTTTCTTAATTTTGATATCAGAGGCCCGCATATCTATAATCGTTTTAACGTATTGATTGAAAGACACAAATACTTAATAAAACTAGCCAGAGAACTTGCCGAAATGATTAGTTTTGTTTTATTGATAGAATTATTTCTTATCAGTATTCTTTTATGCATAATGGGTGTGTGAATGATATACTACTTATAATTATTTTGCAAATCGTATTATGATATAAAAATCTATATTAAAGAAACAAATATTTTTTCAGGATTTCAACTTATTTTACAACTAAGTGAAAACAACGTTGTTTTAATTACGAAAAATATAATGGTACAAAGTACCTTTCTAACACAATTAACTTTATACGGTGTTATTGGGAATTATTTAAGATCCGAAATGGAAGAAATAGGACTTTCTGTTTATCGGAGCACTTGGTACAATTTTCCTGCGAAGCTAACGAGACATATGATATTCATTCTTATGTGTGCAGATTCCCCCGTCGCTTTGCAAGCTGGAAATTTTATCGTGGTAAATTTGGCAACTTACGTAAGCATCCTAAAAACATCTCTTTCGTATTTATCTGTACTTCGTGTAATGGTAAAGGTGTGAAATATAAGTACTACAAATGTACTATAAATAAAGAAATTAATTTTATAAATTATAAATATATAAGTTAGACGAATGATAATTTGAATACATAAAAGGAAAAATGTATTGAAACGTTATTTTAATAAAATTGTTGGTTGTAACTATAAGTCATTACTACAGTCATCTGTGTCTAATCTATTTTATATATGATTAACAATGTATATACACTTAAACAATGTTATATATATA